TTCAGTCAGACGCATAAGAATTGACCAATCGCAGTCGATTATTCTTACGACTACGACCATTGCAGACAGAACCGAGAATCATTGTAGCGGAGGCTTTAACGTCAAACGCAAAGTAATCTCTATAAAATTACCGTCGTAATCGGAGGCGGCGCCCTGCAGTCGCAGGACACTCTCGTTCATATCAAGATTCAGCTCCGCTCTGCGTATTATACCCATAATCAAGTCGTACGTAATCCCAGGGTGCGAACTCTCCGCCTTCGAGAGAGCCGCGCGGAGAGTCTGCGCTGCCATGACATTTTGCCTTTCCAACTGCAAAAATTCAATCCATTACCATTCTAACCCTCGTTGAAAAGCGCAAAACTCGGTAACAAATTATAACTCGCTGTACAATCGCATTCTTTCCCACGTCCATTCGTTCCTCTACACTTAAAGCTGCGGTCCACTTGATGCTACAAATGCTTCCAGACGTTGCACTTCTCTCTCCTTTTAACAAAGAAGCAGAAGACCACTTTGTAGCGCCAAGTGAACCACAGTCTAATGCCCGTTTCTGCCAACGCAGCTTATCTTCAATCTTGGCCCAACTTGCTTTATATCTTTTTCTAGTTTTACGAATTAGTAAACGAAGTAACTTAAGCTGAGATTAAAGTTAATCTGCATTGGCAGAAACGGGCGTAAGAGACAACCATTCGCTGTCAATACGAGACATGGGATGAAACTATTACTCATGAAAAAGACTTTGCGTGTTGATCCGCCGACGAATAGATCCGGCTAGCCTTCCGTGTCGTAAGAGGCGACTAATAGGGCCTAGAAGACAAGTAGCCGTAAAGACAAAGAGAAGATAAGAATACAGGGAAGATGGGATAAGAGACAACCATTCGCTGTCAATGTGAGACATGGGATGAAACTATTACTCATGAAAAAGACTGCGTGTTGATCCGCCGACGAATAGATCCGGCTAGCCTTCTGTGTCAGTAAGAGGCAACTAATAAGACCCAGAAGACAAGTAGCCATAAAGACAAAGAGAAAATAAGAATACAGGGAAGATGGGATAAGAGACAACCATTCGCTGTCAATGCGAGACATGGGATGAAACTATTACTCATGAAAAAGACTTTGCGTGTTGATCCGCTGACGAATAGATCATCCGGCTAGCCTTCCGTGTCGTAAGAGGCAACTAATAAAACCTAGAAGACAAGTAGCTGTAAAGGCAAAGTAAAGAGAAGATATTAATACAGGGAAGATGGTAAGAAAGAAACAATCAAGCGTACAGAGTGTACGCTAGGTATATGACCATTGGTCGACGGCATTCTCACAAAGGAGGAATTTATTTAAAAAAGAAATATTATGGAAAAAGACACTAGGACCGCGTGTCCTGGACGAGGATACGCGTCGGGACGATACCTTGGTTAATATTGGCCTTAATATGACGGGAAGAACCAGTGATGTAACCGGGGTCTCATCGCCCATTGTCATCCTTCACCGCGTATATCGTCGCTCGAGACGGCAGGAGAATTAAAACGATCCGGTCGCGGGTCGAGACGGTAGGCGCGACGTCGACAGAGGGGCTTGTCGCTTACGCGCGGGCTCGCTCGCGACGAAGAGGGTTGTTTACACGCGAGTGGCACGATCGCGGGCACGCATCAGCGTAACTCTTTCCTCTACGATGCTCTATGACAGCTGTCACAATAGGCACTAGACACGCGGAAACGAGGTTACCCGGCGCTGCCAACATTAGCCGAGCGAGTCTCTCGAAAGCCGTCCGTCGCGGCCTCGCGCCGTCATTGGCCACCGCGGCAAATAGGCTCGCGCCTTGCGGTTGAATTTTTTCTTCCGCGCCTCCTCGTCCCCCCTCTTTCTCCCGCTCGTGTCCAACGCGGTGTAGCCGTGCCGTTTTAACCGCGGACCTTCGGTCATCGGCTGATAATTGATTCGATGAATCGCCTCGAGGTAAAATTTTTTATCCTACACACAATTTCCCGATCTAATCCCCTTTTTCTGTGCGCTAGGCAATGAAGGATTGTCAGTTCTTTCCACGCTAATGGCGCGGATATCGTTCGGTAAGTTAGTCGGAGTTTAAGTCATCGGAGCTTAGGTCTGGAGGTCAATTCTGTTGCAGCATAGTGAAAATGCTTCGTCTCTTTCTAAAGGGACGACGAAAAAGAGACAAAGCTATTCACTTTTGCTATTGACACCCTGGTTTCACCAACGTCTCGCTTAAGCTCAACTCATCCTCTGTCACTTTCGAACTGTCGCCTTAACAAAGGGACAAAGAATGAGTTGAGCTGAGGTTGAAGCTAGACGACGTTGGTGAAACCGGGCCCTCGTTCATCGAAGTCATCTTTAAAGTCCGGAAAATAGTATAACGACGAGGAACAAATCTAATAGACCCGTTTTTACCTCAACCACGCTTGTCGCGCAGCCGCGGTATCCCCCCCCCCCCCTCTCTCTCTCTCTCTCTCTCTCTCTTTCTCTCTCTTCGAAATGCGAAACTCCACGCTTGTGCCATTTTAAGCACGGAAAAATGTTCGCGGGCGCAGGGTAAGATCTAAATGTTATTTCCGTATTGGTGAAATCTGCGACAAGTAACTCGCGTTGCCGCGAAAGGTCACTTGCACTCGTTCCGAGTGAATTCACGTCGGCGAGAATTTTCCTTCGCGGCTGACGCGAATTTAGAAAGAGACTTTAAGCCGATTGTCCGCACCGCTAATTATTTCGACGACGATCGTTCCCTGATGCTTCTCTCTCTCTCTCTCTCTCTCCCCCTTCCTCTTCCTTTCTGTAGATCGGTGCTTTTCGCACGATTTCTCTGTCGGACAATGGGCAACGAGACCCGTAATGCGAATAATTGGCTGACGGAGAAAGAAAAGATATTCTTTCCGGCATCAATTCTATTTTCCGTGCCTCGACAATGGAAATGAGAGATATTCGCTTGTTAGAACCGCGAACTTGGAGTGCCAGCCGCGCATAATTCAGGCCGGCTTCGACCAACTCCGATTCCAAACTCCGATCAGCTTAATCTGAGCGATTAATTCAACCGACGGGATTGCTTACAAAATTTCCGGCTATGTAATTCGTCATCCCTAATCTGATCCTCATTTCAATATATTATTGTAACTTATTTCGGGAGGTAAATGATTCCATCCAATTGACAAAACGAAACTAAAATCTCATTTATCTTTCGACTGTTACTTATAAATGACCAGCTATTGCACTGTTAAATTACAATTTTTTTGTTACCCAATTCTCATTGGGTTGTCACAACACAGCAGCCTCTCGGCCGCTAATATGTTATCATTTTTAACTATTATGTGTAGTAAAGTTTATTATTTTAATGCGAATTCTAATTAAAGACACACCTACATCCTTTTTCAACCCATTTTATAATTTTTATCTTAATTGCATAATTAAATTAACGACATATTAAGTAGAAGCAGTTGCGACTTCACTCACTGAGCTAAATTTAACATCAAGATATAAGATCCGACTGTGAACATCGGCCTAAGACTATGGGCAGTATTCATAGTCAGATCGTCGTAAGATCTTTAGATACTTCGTAATCAACGAAATGCTCCATACAGCATCTTAAGGTAAGCACAAGTCGGTCTTAAATATAAGATCTGACGTGAATACCGGCCACGTCTCATTTTTCTAATTTCGCGCGCGCACGGCGCTCGAAAAAGTGTCTACGGCAGAGCAAGGGCGATTCGGGCCGTCGCACACAAAATTGCATACTTGCATATGCATAGCACAAGGCCGTCTAGACCAATAAGCATATTATGCAAATCAATATGACGATTCAATGCTCGTTGGTTTAGACGGGGCTCTTATGCTACGCATACGCAGCTATGCAATTTTGTGTGCGATGGCCTTAACGGCCGCTTCGAATTTACAGAGACTTGGCGCGCCGCCGCGCCGCCGCGCCACCGTCACCGCCGCCGCCGCCATTATTGCGATTCGAGTGTTCGCTTCGCGAGCGCGCGGCGTAAATTTCGCCGCGATTTCGTCGAATTTTCCGGCGCCGAGGACACCGAATGCGCGCGGGGCTTCGCGGGACGAGCTGCCGCGAGGTCGTGGTAAGTCGAGACCCGAGATATTTCCGCGGAAGTCGTACTTTTCGTTCGGTGCGGAAACCCGAACGTTTCGCCGCGCGCGACAACCCGCGGGCGCGGACGGGGCGAGAGGACGCCGGATGCATAATCCAGGACGGAAGGCCGAGGATCCGGTGGCCGTTATCGAATATCGTGCGGAAATCCTGTTCGCGAGCGCGGGAAGGTACGTGCTAAATATTAACGGCCGATATTCTTCATTCCGGAGGGAAAGGGTTTCGCCGTGGGGTCGAAATCGCGAGGGGGGGAAACCGCCGAGGGCATTGTGGTGTACAGATTCGCGGCATTACTAGGCACTTTCGGGCATTTTTTGGGGCATTAGGCCTTGCTGGGGCACTGTAAAGATAAAATAAGATAAAGTAATGTCCACTGGGCATTAATGGGCATTGGTGTACAAGATTTTGGTCAGCGATTTTCCCTCGCGAAATCGCGTCCCTACCGTCGGTTTTCGAAAACGCTCGCAGGTTTGCTAACTTAATTTTCGTATTAAATTATTGCGTTATTAACTTACTCGATACAAAAAGTGAAGTTACAAAAGTTTCGAGTATTCTCGAAAGCTGACGGTTGGGACGCGGTTTCGCCCGCGTCGACGTCGATTCGACGTTGGTGCTCACCGGGTAGCGCATGCTGGTGGACGCGAATAAACGGCAGTCGCTCTTACGTGAGGAAAGAAATTTTATTGGTAAGGTAGAGTCACGTCCAGACATATAAACAGCGTGTATAAAAGTATAAAAAATAAATATCGACGGCGCACGCGCGCGCCGTCACTCCGTGAGTCTTATGGGTACGAGTCTCGGGGTTTGGGTCACGGCGCGCCCTCGGTCGCTAGAGATCTTCCAGGAAGCGATCGGAATAGCCGGTTGCGTTTTCTATTGGCCGGCGGCCATTTGCTTCAGAACCGAACAGGGGAAGTAAAGCCCAATGTCCCCGATGCTAGAACTTGG